TAACCTGGAGGAACTGGGGGCTGGGATGTAGAAGGAGTGTTTGGCTGGCAGAAATGTTGTCCAGAGGCTGGGGTAAAGAGGCCTTCAGTTGAGAGCTTCTCTTCTTGAGAAAATGGAAAATGAAAACTCTTTGCCTTCTAAATTCCCTGCCCTTAAAAAAAATCAATATTATTGAATGATACAAGAGCTGCCACAGAAGTTGCCCAAGCCTTTAGCTAAAGACATTTCTATCTAATTTAGAACTATCCAAATCTCCTGTTTCCATTAATGGAAATGTCATCTATTTCTCTGAGTGTTAGGACAGATTTCAGAAAATGACGAGATGTTCAGAGTAGCCAGCGTTATGTAGTTTCTTTCTTTCCCTTACCTCGAGTATTCTCGGGAACACATAAATGACCCTGGTAATGTTGGCAGTGAGATGAAAGACCACTCAGGGATGGACTTTGAAACGAATATGGACACTCATTATTTTTAAATAATATTAACCAACAGAGAGCCTTGAAGAATGAGATTAAGAGTCTCCCTTAGTTACCGCTAATAAACATCGAAGGGCTGGATACCTTGCGCCACAAGCAGCTGTAAAACTAGTCAATAATAGCTTAAACCATTAAAATATTAATTGTTCATTTAAAAACAAGTCCAAAGTCAGGCAGCTCCAGGAAAAGTTCAGCAGCTCAACAATGTCTTCAAAGACCCAACTTCTTTTTGCCTCTGCCATCCTCTGCATGCTGGCCATTTGAAACCTCATGGTCATAAGATGGCTGCTGAAGTGCCAGGCATCGTATTCTTTTCCAAGGGGGTAGAATGGAGAAGGAACAGTCACAAAATGTGTTCTTTCAAATGATTGTGTGGTTTCTGATTAAAAGGAAAGTCTTTCAGCAGATTTACCATTCCTATGCATTGGTCAGACTCGAGTCCTGTGCCCATCCTGGCATGAATCCTTCCCTAGGGCTGGGGAAGGAAGGACCTACTTCCCACAGGATCAAGGGATACCCACAGCCTCTTGAACGCAAAATTGAGATTCTGGTAGCATGAGAGAAGGAAGACAATGGTCGTGGGATAGGGATGGTAGAGAGGAGCCTTGCTATAAAGTTCTCATCAAGGCTATTTTAATTGCAAGAAATAGTGATTAGACTCAGGTTAATTCAAATTAAGAAGTATAATTTTATTATAAGGCTTGGATCGGTAGTTAATTTCCTACAGGAGACAGTCAAGGAACATAAATGAGTGAAAAGGCGGTATAAGGGAAGGGGAAGGACTGTGGCAGAGTAAGGAGAAGCATAGGCCCCATCCAAAGGAAACACAGCTACTACTCAGTTCTAGCTGATTTTGTTGCATGGTGAGATCTCCCAAATTTCAAGACAAGAATCTGAATTTTTATCTGAAATCTCCAAATTTTAGTATGTTGAATCAAAACTTTTAAAATGATGTGTAAGTCAGTAAAATTCATCTGCAGCCAGGTTTGGTTCATGGGCTACCAGTTTGCAGCCCCTGAAAGGTTAGAAAGATCTCAGAAATAAAGTACAGCCTGGAACAGGAAACTGGGGAGCCACCAAGGCCTTAGGCAGCCCCCTCTCTGGATTCGTGGCCCCCATTTCCACCTTCCTCTGTAGACTGGTTTCCTTCTGCCTCCTCGTGGCTGCTGCATATGCCTAACCACGCATTTGACTTCTGCTCACGTGGCTTAGCTCTGCAAACATATTTGACTCAGCTGTTCAGTGTCCCACTTCCAAATCCTCACGAGAGAAAGCTGTTTGGCCCAGTTTAGTGATGGTTCCAGTCCTGGTCCAATTAAAATGGGTCAGGGAGTGATGGGGTCAAGAGGCGCAAACATGGTGACTTTGGCCTGCCCTTTCAGCAGAGAGGTACAGTTACAGGAACTCATAGTGACACATATGTAGCCTCTCGAGTCTGTTCATCATAACTATTATGTATCCTGTCATGGCATGCGGTCAGTATGCATGGAGTTTCTGCCATGCATCAAGCATGATATTTAATGCTGAAGATGCAAAAAGGAGTAAGACATGGTCCTTATCTTCTCGCACTCACAGCGTAGTGGGGAGAACAGGCATAAACAGATAATTGTGGTATAGGGTGATATGGGCACTAACAGAGGGATGCAGGGTGTTGTGAGAGGAACACGAGATGCCAACCCTGAAGCTCTAGAGTGTTCTAAAGGCCCTTCTGACACCTCAAAGACTCAGTGGTTTCAGTCAGACTTTAGTTACTGGTAGTGCTTTACTGTATTCTGATCCTTTGACATTTGAACACCCATGATTACATCACATGTAATCATTCTCGATTAATCAAGAAGATTTGATGATGAGCCACTTCAAGTGCCACTATACCCCACCATGCAAGAGAGCAGAGTACTTTCTAAATTCATCAGTAGGAAAACAATTCCACTCACAATAACATTAAAAGGAATAAAATACTTGGGAATAAATTTAACAAAAGGAGTGCAAGACTTGTACAAACTACAAAACTGCTGAAAGAAATTGAAAATCGAAATAAATGGAGAGACATTCCAGGATCATGGATTAGCAGCCTTAAAACTGTTAAGATAGCTGTCAGTACTCTGCAAATTGATCTATAAATTAAACACAATTCCTATCAAAATCCCAGCTGGCTTTTTGTGCAGAAATTGGCAAGCCAATTGTAAAATTCATATGAAAATGCAAAGGACTCAGAATTGCAATGTAGATGAATAAAAAAGAATTGAGCGTCCAAAAATAAACCCCACAAATTTATAGTCAATTGACAAAAGTTCCAAGACAATTCAATGGAGAAAGTTAATCTTTTCTAAATTCATCAAGCGGACAAAAATGCATTGAAAATACAGTTGCAGATCACTTTCAGAGAAGGAGCAGGCATGTTAGGTGAAGGGAAAGTGAAGAGATGAAGCATCACCACATCGCCTGTAGTGCCACGTGCAGAATTTCCCCACGTTCCTTCTGAATTTTAAGACATTCCAAGTGTCACTTTGGGTCTGAATGTGGACTTGTCTGGTCCCATACATTTTTATGAGTTGTCCATGCTGTCTTACAGAAGCTCTGTTGATAACTAACCTTGACCAGTAGGGGTCGCTCTCTCTGGGGAATTTTAGGTTGGGTGAAGAAATCACTGGTCGAAAACTAAATGCTGTGTTCCATTCCCAGCACCGGGAAGTGCCTCCCTCTCCAGGCTCCTCGTCTTGTGAGAGTCCCTTTGTCTTGGACCAAATATGGCTATGAGGAGGAGAGAGTTAGTTCTTTCTCAATGTGTCTGCAGAAAGAGGGAAGAAGCCCAACCAATTCTTTTATGAGTGTATATTTTTCTCCCAACCTAGGATTCAGTGTCGTGTGGTGCTTGAAAGTGAGGCACTAGAATCACATGATTTCGGGCTCTGAATCCTCATCCTATTCCTTCTCAGCTGACCTTATACTGCTTCTCTGTACCTTGGCCTTCTCACCTATGAAATGGGAATAATAGCTACTTCATGGTGGGGAGAGGGTTGTAGGAATTAAATGAGTAATGTGTGCAAGAGTTTAGCACAGAGCCTGCTACCCAGTTAGAATGCAATGAATTTTAGTTATCAGAATTATAATTATTAATTCCAGATGCTCTTCGACTTATGATAGGGTTACATCTTGATAAATTCATCATAAATTGAAAATATCATAACCTGAAAACGCATTTTATACACCTAATCTACTGAACACCATAGCCTCACCTACCTTAAATATGCTCAGAACACTTACATTAGCCAGAGTTGGGTGAAATCATCTAACACAAAGCCTATTTTATAATAAAGTATTGAATATCTTGTGTAATTTTACATGCATATTGCTTTTGCACCATTGCAAAGTAAAAGAATCAAAGTCATCCATCATAAGCGAGGAACTGTCATCATTTATTATTATTATTATTATTATTATTATTTTAGGGGCTAATTTATTACTATTGGAATTCTAACTTATATCTTGGCTCTCACTCTATTTATCTTGGGGCCAGCCAAAATCATGGCAGATATTTCATGAAGGACCCATTAGGGGAAACAATACAGGAAGGAACAGACAGTAATGGCATAGACATAGCACAGTGTGGGCCCTTCCAGACCTCATCACAGCACACAGGATGTCACTGGTCCCAGGTGCATGAAAACTCCTAGGCTCTGGTCCTCCACAAAAAAACAGACAGATGAAAATTCAACCTTAGAGGTTGAGGCAGATAACTAGGGATGAAGATGTTCAGGTGCCTTCTAGGCTCATTTAAGGCTTTCAAAAATATCTGGAAACTTATTTGTCATCTCAGAGAATACCAGCCAGAAGATAGAGAGTTGTTAAGTTTGCCCCCCAAACAAGGAGTATGCCTGGTGAGTTTATTCTCGATGAAGTTCCTTGAGAGATGATCCTTCCAGTGGTCCCTCCTCAAGGGTTACATGGAGCCAAGGGGGCCACCCGATGGGCCGATGATGCTATTTGGGATCCTGGATGTGGAACAGGTATCATATATTGCTAGTTCTGTGCCTCACTTCTTTTGCCTCCTCCACACTCCAATTCTACGTATAAATTCCTGCAATGACATCTATTACAGCATTCTTTCAAGTTCATTCTATGGTATTAGTGTTCTGGGCAAAAGGTTTCCATAGCCGGACAGGCTTAGGAAGACTGGATTGAACAACATCAGGTAGGTGTCTCTGCTACAGACTTTTCAGAACCTTTAACATGTTAGTGCGACTTGTCAGGTTACTTAACCTCAACTATCCTCAATATCCTGCTTTCCTTCTTGATTTTCTGAGTTCTCCTTTCTTCTGAGGACTCATGGAATAAGTCTTCATAATGTCAGGCCGGAGAGAGTGGAAAGACCTCGGTGATCAGAGGGTCCCCAGGTAAGGTGAGACTCACCTCCAGAAACTGACCTGTGGTTCCCTTCTCACCACATGCTTCTTGCAAACGGAAGCCAGTGGTGAGGTCAGGGGTAAGTAATGGCTTAGAGAGGAGCACATTGATTAGTTGGCCGAGGAAAGTGGGGAGTCCTCGTGGGGGAAGCAGTGGTCACTGGCACCCTCAGAGGTGGGATGGTGGCATGCTGAGCAACTTCCTTTCTTCCAGAACTTTCCCAAAGAGCTTGGCCGCCTCCAGGGCACAGCCCCAGTGGATAGTGAGCCCATAGCCTCCATGGCCATAATTGTGGATGACCTAGGAAAGGCAAGAGAGAAGATGGCCTGCTCTGCCCTGGAACATTCAGGAACTTTCCAAAGAGATCTGGGCAAAGCCAGATGGCACCAGAGCTCCTCTCAGCACCCTGGAGGGGGGGCCTGGGAACAACAGTAAGTTTGGGGAGCTTGAGGTTGACACCCTAGATTCCTCTTCTGTTTAGGAGGTGGACCTGCTTTATACACTCAGCACAGGAATCACCCACCCAACCCAACACACATCAAGTTGTCTGAAGTTCTCTAAATCACCCCACCCACCCAACACACATCAAGTTGTCTGAAGTTCTCTAAATCACATTCCTTGTTCCCATCCTGCTCTGAATTGCTGAACCTCCTGTGTTAACAGAAAACTTGTCTCCCCACCATGGGAGGAAAGAAAACCAGAGACACCGTTGGGTGGACTCTGGTAAAGTGCTAATGCATCCTGGAGACAGAGGCAAGACCCCTGTGGCCTTTTTCAAAGCTAAAACCATTGGCAGGGAGTTAAACTCCATATGTGACTCTCCCCTCTACACACACACACACACACAAACACACACACACACATATGCGCGCATACAATCTCTCTGCACACAAACACACAACCCTCTATAAACACACATCAATCACATACACTCACACACAAAACTTCTATACGCACACACACATTAAGAAAGGAAGGTGTCCTAGAAAGGAAGGATTGCTTTCCTGGTGGGAGCCCAGTCATCACCTACTCAGGTTAGTGCCTTCAGCCCAGGACGACGCCTGCTGTTTCAATAAGCCTAGTTCCTACCCCATGAGAGAGAACGAGAGGGGACCCCAGAGAGATGATGGGGCAGCCACAAATGGACATCTAGGCATGGCTCTGGAGTTAAATTCAAACCACATCCCAGCTCTGGCCCTCAACAGTAATCTCACTTGAGTAATGACTTCACCTCTTGGAGCCTCAGTGTTCTCATCTGAAGCCTGAGGAGAACAGTCCCAATCCTAAAGAAGATTCCATAAGGTCATTCGTGTCATGGACACAAAGTAGATGTTCAATAAGTGCCTATTTCCTTCAATTCAAGCACAGCATTAGCAAACTGAGGTACTGTCCTCTAGGTAACCTTGAGCAGGTCCTTTACCATCATTGAGCCTCAATTTCCCCACTGATAGTGGAGGGGATATTAGCCACCACTGTGACTGCCTGCCAAGAGGCTGTATGGAGCAGAGGTCAGGTAAGACTGTTCTCTGGAAGTACCAGAGCCCTCTAAGGAGTGAGAAGGACATTCCTTTCCTTTCCAGGAGAGCATACCTCTGTGTTTGATGATCCAAAGTGAAGCTGTTCTCTTTCTAGCCGAATCTGGGGGCGTACTGGCCGGAAGCCAGTCCATTCAGTAACAAGTTTGGCATCCTGGAAAGAAAAGTGTTAGTATTTCATCTCTGGATTATTCTGCTGCCATGATAATTAGCTTTTGGAACCTCACTGTCATTACCACCACGACTAACACCATCACTGTCTATTTTATTAATCACCACAACCATCATCGCCACCTTTATCAGCCACCAACATCGTTACCATCACTACTCCCACCTCACCACCAGTTCTACCAAACACCTCATCTTCATCAATCTCCACCACCAGCAGCCATCACCATGATATTATCAACAGTCACCACCTCATTACCATCCTAATCACCATCCTCCGCATTTTCATCACCATCACCAACTACTGCTTCCACCCTCACCCTCGTCGCCAACATCATTGTCATTGCCACTAGCAGGCAATTGTGAAAACTGAGGTTTCTGCAACAAATACATATGCTCCTTGTGAACACAGAATTACATGTTTTAGGGATGTCACCTTAAAAAAGAACAACTCTTAGTCATGGCCATATAGGTTTCATAGGCCCATAGTGGGACTTCCCCGTACATTATCAAATTCTGGTGTATTCCACAGACCCTTGCTGGAATTAATTTGCCCAGTTATCCTAGTGGTGGAATCTTCCAATCATCAAGTGTCCTCATGGTCAAGCTGCCAGGAACCTGGTGTAGGGCACTGATACCTCTCCCTACCTTACCTTCAGTGTGGGCTCCAGTCTGCAGCAGCCTTCCCAAATAGTGTTGTGGTCTTGGATTTTGTTTACCTCATTCCAGTTCCCCAGCTGGAATATGCCTCCAAGAGTCACTGCCTGGATCCTGGATAAAAAGTAAGGAGGGTCAAGGATGAAGGAAAACGAAGCCTTTGAGATGAATGGGGGTCATCACAATGTTCACACTTACCATCATCTCTGCCTAAATCACTACCTCCATCAACATCGTCATCCCTGCTCACAATACAATCAACAGCACGACAATTGCCATTGTCATCGCCATCACCCACCACTTACATCATCACCATTAACATCATTGTCAACATTGTCATCTCTTCTAATGTACAACATGGTGAGTATAGTTAATAATACTGTGTAATATACTTGAAAGTTGCTGAACGAGCAGATCTTAAATGTTCTCACTACAGACACAAAAAATGTAATTTTGTGAAGTAATGGGTGTGTTAACCAACCTTATTGGGGTAATCATTTTGCAATATATACAGACATCAAATTATCATGTTATACATCATAGACATATACAATGTTACATGTCAATTATATCTCAATAAAATGGGAAAAAATATTGTCATGTCCATCAACATCGTCTTTACTACTGCCTTCCTTGCTACCATTAATGTCATCACCATCAACCCCAGTCATCATTTCTATCACCACCATTAGCTATCGATATTGTTATATTCACCACACCACAGACATCACCACTGAGAGAGCACAGCCACAACATTAACATTGCCTTTGAGACTGTCATCTCTGCTGCACTAGTAACATCACTGATAGTGCCATCTCTATCAGCAGCAGCTACTGCTCCCAATCCTAGTCACCACCATCATCAACATTGATCTCCTCATCAATAGCAATACTATCTTTACTACCACTATTTCACTACCAACAATACTGCCATCCCTTCAACACAACCACTGCCTTCACTAACGGCATCACCTCTGCCATTAATATTGTCATCACTATCAACCCCAATCACCATTCCCACCACTATTCCTGTTAATGACATTCACACTGCTTTTATTGTCACCGCCGTCTCGTCTTTGTCTCCAGCATCACATTTGTCTTCAGTATCAGCACTACTGTCATCTAAAATTATGTTCAAGATATAGCCCAATTTAGGCTAAGTCCTGGCTTCTTAGGGTTTTAAAGGCTCAAGCACACTTAAAATACATTGGAAAGACTAAGGGGCTTGGGACAGGCAGCAGGGACATAAAAAGGGCATAAAGATGCCCCCTCTTCTGCCCTAGGATGTCAGATTTTTACCCTGGGATGATGTATGGGGAATTGTAGATGCCTCTGTCTGAGTCATGGGTGATAATGAAGTGATTCATCCAAGGAGCATCCACCTGTTGATAAAAGATGGAGATGTCTCATCGAGGGAGTTGGATCAGTGGGCACCCCCACCCTGCTCCTCTCTATGACCAGATGTTCTGACAACAGTGGTCGATTTCTGAGCCCTTCCATGAACCCCCTGCCCCAAGTCTGCGCCCGACTACCTACTCTTGCAGAAAGAGTGCCCTGAGAGCCACCCTGCTTCCTGAAGCATTACACATTTTCACCCACGTCTCCACAGAAAAACCCAGCACACATGTGCAACTGCACACACACATTAGCCCACCTCAGGAACACACTCCCCAAACACCTATGAAGGCACACATGCACACTCACAAATAGGTATGCCTCAGCACATGCACACACACCCATTGAGAGGCAGCATAGGCCAACGCTTACACACTTAGGCTCTTACACCAGGTGGCCTGGGTTCTAATTCCAATTCCACAATTTACAACTGTGTGAACTTACATACATTACTTAATTCCTCTGTGCCTCGGTTTCCCCATCAGTAAGGTGGCCGTGGTGATATGATAGACCCCATCTCAAAGGGTGGTGGTAAAGATTAAATGAATTAACACTATGAAGTGCTCAGGTCTGTGCCTGGTACTTAGTAAACACTCCATAAACATTTGCTCTTTTTATTATAATACAGGCATATGCAGCTCCCACATATGTACAGACATATACATACATGTTTTGCTAATGAAGAAGAAACCCCAAAAGAGAACATTTGGGAGCTCCATGTTGGGTTGGTCCTTCTTGTTTCTTTAACGTGTCGGTTCCTCTCACGGTGTCCCTAATACATCCTCTATCTTTGGAGATGAAATAATCTTCTTAGCAACAAAAGTCAGAGGTGTTATCCCTCACCTTCACACTCACCTTAATGATCTGCCCCCGGCCTGGCTGCAGCAGGGGGTCTGGTTGCAAGGCCCCAGCCCACACACCAGTGCAGTTGATAATCATGTCGGCGCCTCCTCTTGCCACCTGGCAGCAAGGAACGAGTCAGATAGGGTAGAAGCGGGTAAGGACCCTGGTATCCTCTGCTCCTCTTTCTCCCTTTCTCTCACCTATAGCTCCCAGCTTTCTGTGGCACAGCAGAGTGGGAGCTCAATGAGGAATCCATGGGCCTGTCTCCAAATGTCCACTCTGCCAGCAGTTTACCTGCTATGTGGCCCCAGAAATGTCTTGTAACCTCCTCAAGGCTCAGCTACCTTAGCTATAAAATAGGGCTGGTAGTGCATGTTCATAAGCTAATGCAAAGATCCAGTGTGACTCAGGATATAAAAGTGCTTAGCAAAAAAGTACTATGCAAGGTGGGAACCTTTTTGGAACTTTCCAGAAGATGTCAGGAGGCAAGCAGAGATAGTTCTCTTCCTTCTTCTGACTCCTTTTTATTTCATTCTCTTGCCTTCTACTCTGCCAAGAAGGCATGTTGGAACCCCTAGTTCTGGGCATGTATGGAATACTCAATAGCTCAGGGATGTAGCCTGATGGGCACCCAAACTCCCAGCCCAGCCCCCCCCCCAATTATCCTCCTAGTTCAGTCATGGGACATAGCGATGTACTATTATTGTTCACGAGCCAGTATTTGTGACACTAGACTGTGAGCTCCTTAGAAATGAGGGCTGTGCCTGAGTCCATTATATTTCCCAGTACCTGTCAGGGCTGGACCCAGAGCAGGTGCCTATTACAGAATGCTAATAGCTGTGTGTACTGAGCACCTTCCATGTGCCAAGCACTATTCCAGGTTCTGGGATTGAGTGAGGTTATAGAGCAAAGCTCTTGATGCATAGTCAGTGCCAGATGATGGTAGCTGCTACTAGCCTTATTATTGGTGGTGGTACTTCAGAAGTGAGTCAGCTAAGGAATATGACTTTGCAGAAATATCAACCCAGTTGTTGACAGGAGGCAGCCAAGTGTCTAGAACTTGGGGTTGGGGTGCAGCTGATACTGGGAAGAGGCAGCCAGCTCTCTGGCCCCAAAACTCAATGAGGCTTGAATATAGATCAGCCCCTAATGACCATCATGATCTCATTGTCCCTTTGTTTCTGCCACCAGTATCAAGGTGGAATGCCTGAGTCCTTCTGGGATTGACAAAATGCCTGGAGACTGAGATGAGCCTCAAGAGGACCCTGGAAGGCTGAGAAGGGAGCCCCCAACCAAGCAACAGGAAACAAAAGACTCCCTTCTTCTCTCTCCCACATTAAGCCCATTCCAGCCCCGAAGCTCACCTCCTCAAAAGACTCCACCTTCCGCTGGAAGAACTTCACTCCCCTCTCAGTTAACCTAGGATCAGACACATCAAAAAGCCCAGTGTTCAATTGTCTGCCCCATCTCTCCAAGAGGATGGCATAGGGAATATTTCCCAAAGAAACTCCTGTCTCACAGAATGCTCCTTGAGAAAATGGCTGTGTAGTCAGATCAGTTCATGAGCACCTTGATTGACTAGTGGGCCATAAAATGTCCCTTGGGAAACCTGAGATGGTCCAAGCCCCTCATCAGATGGAGATAGGAGAAGGGCCTTGCTGAAGGACATACAGCGAGTCAGTGATCGTACTGGGACTCAAACCCAGACTTCTTAGTTGGAAATGCTTCCTCCTACTACCACATTGCTTTGTACTATCAAAGGGATGACATGCAGGGTGGGGACAGGACAGGGTTGGACCAATGCAACATGCCCTTTTGTCAGAAGCAAGCATGGGGAGGGAGGCGGGATGAGTACACTCCCTAAATGTCCCAGCAGAAAAATATCTGTCACCATTAGAAACATAGTAGAAATATCAAAAGAACAGTAAATAAAACATGTAAAGGCTGAAGCATGATCTCAGGACTATTTTATCTACGTAGTTTCCTCAAGATAAAACTGGGCGCATCCTTTCCTGGAAGAAGCTAAACAGCTTTAGAAGAAATAACCATATTTTATCACAATGTTTCTCAAACCTGGCTGATAATTAAAATTATGCAGGGAAACTTCTTAAAATGCAAACTTATGAGCCCCATCATACAGGTTTTGATTCAGTAGATACGAAGCAGGGTCCTGAAATTTATGTTTTTAAAATGTCTCCAGGTTATTTAGTAAAAGCAACCATCCACTACAGATTTTTAAAAAAACTTAATGAAATAGTACTATATAAGAAATAGTAAATTTCAGATTTAGTGAGGTCAATAATAAATATCACATGAATGAGCAGCCTAGGTGATTCTGTAGCCCAACCAGGTGTGGGAACCATTGTCTTACTCCCCAGAAGTGATCAGAACCAAGGATAGCTCCCATCACTCCTAAAGGTTAACATTTGGCTGTTGGTCAATACAAAGATGAATCCCATGAACAATCATCTACTACAATCCTGGCTCTTGGGAGGTGCTTTCCTGAAACTAAAATTGAAAATCTCACCTTTTAGTCAGCCACTGTAGATACTTCCTCCCCTCAATAATCAGGCTTGTGTTGAACCAGCCATAGCTAGAGTCACAGCAGGCAAACATGGGAGTAAAAGATCAGAATCAAAGGTATATCTGAAAGCTATCAAATGGAGGTGGAAGCAGTGTCATTTTGGGAGCCCTCAAACGTAGAGTCAGGGCAACTGGGTGAAGTTCAAGGGAGAAGTGATTTTCAGTTCAATGCAAGGAAAAAATTTCTATCAGACAAAGCCATCCCTGACATTGAGATGTGCAAGTGGAGACTGGACGCTCATTTGTAGAGAGGATTCAAGCATTGGGCCAGGTGAGGAGAAGACCAAAGAGGCATTGGGTTATAGGAAAAAGAATAGTGGGGTTTGGAGTCACACAGACTTGGTTGGAATCCCATTTTGGTCACTTGGCTATGTAACCTTGGGAAGTGACTTAGCCTCTCTGAAGCTCAGTTTCCTCATCTACAAAAGAGGATACTGCAATAAAGCGTCTGGGCTTGACATCTATGATTCCTTATCCCAAGGCCCAGTTTAGGTGGGTGGCCTTTCTGAAGGAGCTGGACAGAGCACCAGGAAACCAAGGTACTAGGGGCTCTAGGCCTGGGATGGGACAGGAAATTTGGTGACTCCATATTCTGCTGCCATCTGTACAGGTATGTCTGAATTGTAGGGCTTCAGCCCCTTTGCCCATGACAATAACCTTACTTGTAATCAGGGAACATGTCCAGCTCCCTTAGGGTCAGCTTCCGAAATCCCAAAACTATGTCTTTCCAGTAAGGGTCCTGCAGGGGAAGGAGAGAAGAGGGCACAGGAATGGGCAAAAATCAATAATAATGATAACAACAAAAACTTATATAATGGTTACTGTGTGTAAGGCCCTGCTCCAAGCATTTTACTTATACCACTCCATTTAATCTTCACAATCACCCTCTGAGGTAGATACTATTCTTATTCTTATTTTAAAGACGGGCCCATTGAGGCTTAGAGAGGTTAAGTAACTCATCTAAGGTCACATAGCTAATAAATGGTGGAGGCTGAGATCTGAACCCACAGAGTTTGGCTTCAGAGTCCAAATTCTTAACTATTAGGCTATACTAAGACCAAGAGTAAGATGGGGTGAGTGATAGGGCAAAGGTCAGAAATATGAGAGAAAAAAGGGGTGACAGTAAGAGTTGCCAAGGAGTAAGAGTGGGAGGCAGCAGAGCATAGGGTCAGACAACTTAAATGAAGGTTTCGACCTCACCACTGACCATCTTGAATTCTCTTTGACTCAGTTTTCTGGTCTGTATCATGAAGCGAATAGTCAGTCTTGGTGCCACAGAAGGTAACAGATAGTGTGGGTAATGCCCTCAGCATGGTGCTGAATTTGACTAAACCCTGGAGAGCTGGCATGGGGTTCTGGGCACCCAGCCAAATCACCCTTTCCAAGCACCCTGAGACCATCCTCCAAGGCTGTGTCCTTCTTAGCACATTAGGTGCCACGTGGCCACAAACTGCCTGGGTTCAAATCCCAGCTCTGCCACTTTAAAGCTTTGTGAGCTCAGGTAAGTGACTCTATTTCACCTGCAAAAGGAAGATAACAACAGCACTTCCTTCCTGGTTATTAAGAGAATTAAATGAGTCACTATTTATAAAGTAGTTAGGACAGGGTCTGGCACACAGTAAATACCATGATGAGAATTTTAGTCCATCTTGATGAAAAGCTGTGGGACCTCCAGGGGCACAGAAAACCTTTTGGCTTCAGCACCAAGTGCCCACCACTACAAGATATGTCTGGGTTTTATCCATGGCAATTAAAGGCTAGTTGCCCCATTTCATCATAAGATCATTTTTTCTCTGCCAATTTAATAACAAAATTGGAAACAAAAATAATTTTAAAAGCAAAAATAGATTTCAAGTAAACCTGTTTTGAACACAGGAGTCTGTCACCTATGAGACTCAAAGTTCTCCCAAACTCGGGGCCTCAGCGCTGGTCTGTGATCAAGGCTCTGCCTCCTTACTCACCGGAACAGCTTCATGGAAGATATTGTAGCCTGAGATTAGGGCCAGGCCCATGTTTGCAGCATTGGGAGAATGGATGTGGCTCAGAAGATAGTCGAAGGTCTGCTGGTTCCAATGCCTGGAAAAGTCCCCCCAGAGAATCATCACCTAATACCCTGAGCTGGGTAAGACAACTTTGAGGGTCAGCTTGCATGGGACTGTGATCAGTCTGGTGCAGGTGTGTCCAAATCCAGAAATCCACCCTGTTCCACTCCTGCAGCACCCCAAATGCCTGTGGGTCTTCCCCCTCCTGAAACTTTCCAACATTTCTCCATTAATAGGATAGAGAAGAGGGGGAACAAAGGATACTCTGTCACAACCATTTGGAGCCCACATCTGACTTGGGATCACATAGCTGCTGAGTTTATTTGAAGGCTTTTGCTTGCTTTGAAGACCGTGAGCCGCATGGTTTAGGTTCTCTCTGGGAACCCCCCATTGTAAACACTGGTGGTAGACAAAAGCTTGCTCCTACCAAACGTTTTCCTCTTCTCTCTCGGCACACAGCTCAATTACATTTCCCTGACTCCTTTGCAGCTAGCTATGGCCATGTGACTGCATCCTGGCCAACGGACCCTAAAGACTCTGCATATGTGATCCTCAGGTGCCAGCCCATAAGAATGGAGATGTTGGAAGCCACAGAGGAGGATGGCAGAGCCATGAGATGGAAGGAGCCTAATCTCTGAGTTGCCACCCATTAACCAGGAACTCTGGTTTTTGAATTTGTGGGAAGAATGACAGTTTTGTTTGAGCCGTTATTCATCTGAGGCTGAAGCAGCTGGGGGTCTCTAAACTGACATAATGACCTTTGCCATTTCTTTGCTAAACCTAAATGTTGATTCACCCACTTAGAAGTATTCCTGATTCAGCGATGCATATGGCATCGACAGC